TTTGTATGGACAAGGGCAATCTTGAAATATAATCAGACTTCAAAGTTATTCCTTTCCTTAAATATTTGGAACTTATTTGCAAATTTCTTCGACGCCTCATTAAATTTCTTTCAGTAGTTTCAGCTTGCTCTGTAGGAAATCCATTTTATTGTACTACTGCAATATACTAGCTGTAAGATCACTATATTATGTATGCTGCGAAGATAGTTAGAATCGCAACTTAGAGTATACGATTCTCTCATGAAGATCGAATTTGCTTGCAACATGTCAACTTAACAAATGTCATAGATTATGAAATAATGACGAAAGTAAAGACGGCTGGGGATAATGTAAAGCTATTTCTTTAGCGCGAGGATTTGAAACAATTTACCAGAACCGCCGAACAATGAATAACACTATATGTCTAGCAGACCAATGTTGTATATTGATACCTATCCTATTAACAAATTGAGGAGATCAATTTCACATAACTCAACTCATTCTTATTCATCCTTTCGCCTATATTGTTTTACTTCTGACCATGAATCTATATGATCCATTCATTTCTCAGGATCTTATCAAACTTGGCGTAATCAGGGTTATCTTGTAAGCCTCTCATCCTCCATTCAGCGTATTCACCTAGCCTTGCTAAACTCCTTTTCCATACTCGTTCCCCAATCCTCAACGCTTCAATGCTCGCACAGTCAGTCGCCTACGCCGATGCGCATCTGCTGTTTTTGGCGTGCCAGTGAACGAAAAAATCCGGTTCTTTAAGTGGAAATTTCCGAGAAATTCGATTGCACCACCACTACGCTGCACATCCAGAATTCACGTAATTTCGCCACACAACGTTTTTCATTGCAGTCGTCGGTAGAGCTTTTGAGAGAAAAACCGGTTATTTGCAGGGGTGGCGGGGGTAGGGACATCGATTGATGGGGTGGGCGTGTTGGCTGAAAAGATGGGCGGTAGAGTGAATAAAAGGATTAGGGATTGGAGAGTTACTGTAGGAGAGATTTTTTGAAATAATAACTTCGGCATGCGGCAAACTTCTGCAAATCTTTCGAGTAATGCCAACCATAATGAGGGGGTATAGGTAAAATAATCATTTTTTGCTGTTCTAGCCTTACTTCCTTAGAGAACTTACCCTAGCACTTGGGTTGCAAGAGGTTTTGCCACAAACGAAATTTGTCGACAGGCATCGTTTAAGTGCATCTATTAATAACTCCGTTGGCCTGAGTACATTTACAATATAGTTTTAATTCATAAACAAAACTTTTATGACGGTTATATGCTATACAACAACGAAACAACAGTATTGTATGAGGATCTCACGAACTGAGCAATAAAACACAAACAATGCAAACGTTCGGATCATGCAAATTGTATGCAGATTTCATGCGAAGGTAATCAGGTCAACCGCTCGAGTAAAATAATGTGCACAGTAAACCTGAAGAGGTTGGAGTGAATTATGCACAACGTGCAAAGTTGCATTCCTAATCATGCATTTAAGCGTTATTTGGGTA